GTAACACTAGCTGGTTTCTCTTCATTTCCAGTACCAAAGGACATCGCAACTCCACCCCTTCGAGCAGTAACACTAGCCGGTTGATCATCACTTTGAAGTTGTACCGTATTGGTAGATGCTGTTCCTGAAGAGGGTGTCGTTTTCATCGGGTATTGAGCATCACTCGTTTTGGTATTTGTTATATTAGGGTCTCGGGGTGCTAGTGCACTTTTTGTTTGATGAGAAGCTGTGTTTAAAGATTGTTTTGCTCCATCTAGTGTGGGAAGGATGCCATCAGTTGTCCAACGGCTGTTAGGGCCCGACTCAGCCACCTTTTGCTTCTTTGGAAAGAATCCTATTTGCATAGCAGTGCGATATCCCACATCACTAACACATTCTGTACTTCCAAATATGATAGGCATCCATTGAACGTCATCCTGTATCTTTGGTACCCGCTGAACTGGTATTGAGTACCACGTGTGATCAAGCAGACCGTGACAGTTAATTTTGTCTGAATCATTTTTAGCTAGAAGACTTCTACCACAAGGACCTTCTTCCCTATCAAGAACGGCAATAGAGACTACTGGTCTAATAGTGCCATGACGCAGTTGATGTTGAGCCACAGAAGAGGTAGCTAGAAGTCTAAAAAGGTTATCAACAATACCATTTTGTTGTATACGTTCTTTTTTATTACCTATATTATTATGTGAATTATTTGTCTCATCGGGTAACTGTTGCTCATTTAGTGAAAGTCCTTTCTCTAAAAGACTCTCTTTTCTGTGTTTTGGATTACCAGAAATATTGTTACAGGAAAGGGATGTAGTAAGTCGAAGAAACCCATCGGTTTTTGATGTTAAATTCTCAAATGATGTTCGTGATCCACTTGGACCCTTTTTTTTCCTTGGCAGCAGTGGCTGTGGAGAAGGACTTCTACCGCTATCACGGGCAGATGAACGCCTCAGGGAGGCAATTGGATCTGGCGATGCTGCGCGTGATGGTTGATTAGAAGAGACGAGTCCTTCAAGCGCGGCGGCATTGACTCCCCCTGTTGAGATGCCTCCACTTCCTGTCATCATTTGTGTTGCCGAGCCAGCACACCGTGCGAGTGATATGGTTGGCGATAACCACGGCGATGTCGTCAAGTCAGATACGAGGGTAATACTCACCGTACGAGCATCATACGCGGCTCGACTAGACTTGGCATAATAAAGAGGATTATTATCATCGGTAACGAGGTGATAACAATCACATGGGGCAAAGGAATATACAAGACGTCGAACTCCAAATGCAGAAAAGATACCACCACCTTCTCTTGATTTACGAGGTTCAGAAGAATTTGGTGTAAGAATGGGTTTCTCTGTTGAGCTACATGTTTCTTTCTGATCTTTTACCTCTTCCTTTACTCCAGTCATAGGTGTGGAGTAGGAACGTAAAATAGATCCACACTTGGAAAAAAACTGTGCCATGGATGCATCATCTTCTGTACGATATCTTTCTGGTATTTCATATGCTAACATATTTCGCATAGTTTTATTTAAATATTCCTCTGAAGATGAGGTAGGATTATTTTCTTTACTAGATGATGATGATGATGATAGGACACTACCCCAAAATCTTGTTTCCTCACGTTTATTGGTATAATACTGTTGTTCATCTGGTTCAAATCGAGAAAGAGGAATCTTAAAAACAGAAAACTGTAAAGATCGTGATACTTGATCATCACGAGAAGTCTGTCCTGCAGTTACGTAATGAATCATATTACCATCAATTACACGAAATCCCTTCATACCTTCTGCAATCTTTACATTATCTTCCCCAGTCAATGATGTTTTATTATTCCATGCTGTCGTTGACTTGGTTGGTGAAGTTTCCATAGAAGTTTTTCGTTTATACCATGTTCCATTTACATTTCCATGCGTTCGTTGATATAACTGTTGTTGTTCCTTCGTAAGTTCAGGTGCTAGAATAAAATATGTATCATTAAATTGACGAGTATGAACATTACTCTCTACTTTATTTTTTTCATTCCCTTCAACCGTTTCTGTTCCTTCGCTACTACTTTTACAAGTGGGAGCACTTGCAGAAAGAATGGCATTCAGATGAGATGGAAACGTTCGAGAACGCAACTCCGGTGGAAGAAAAGTTTCTGAGGTTTGAAGAGCCGCGAGTTCCTCTGAAGTTAACATCATTCCTGCGAGGGGCGGTGAGGCCAGATGGGTAACGGATAGTATATAAACATTCTCCAATGTATCTGGACTTTCATAGGGAAATCTTTGATAGAGGGCGGTTAGTAAGGCACGATGAAGGGCCTCTGCCTTTTCTTCTAAAGAGACAGTCTCTTCTTCTCCTTCAATCTTTGTTGTTTTTGTTTTTGTTGTTGTTGTTTCTTCAACGCTACAGGAAGAGCGTTTGACTGAAGTGGAGCGACAAAGTTCATGTGGTAATGCAAGTTGATGTAGGCGTATTCTAAAGTAGTCTACTTCAGGCTCTAAAAAGATCATATTATTTTTTTTTCTTTATTTATTACTTTTTTTTTTCTTCTTTTTTT